AAAATAAAATAATTAAAATAAAATAAAGTAATAATTAAAATAAAATTAAAGTAATAATTAAAGTAAAATAATAATTTAAATAAAGTAAAGTAATAATTAAAATAAAACAATAATTAAAATAAAATGAAATAATTAAAATAATTGACTAATTATAACATAGTTATCTAAAAGTAACAGTTAATTAACTCTGCTTTCAAGTTTTCATTCAAACTTGTTATCATTTCTTTAGACACTGTTCTACTTGAGAGAAACATAAGAAAATTATTATTGATATATATTATTTTAAGTATATCAATTGAACCAAGAACCTCAGTAACGTTAAACAATAACACAATAGTTAACCGATTACAATACATCATAAAGCACAGGTGAAAAGTATGTTAATAAAATACATTGTAAATACGTATTTGCCTTTTATTGTACAAGATATGTACTTCTAAAATACTCAGGTATTTATACATTCGTTAATAGGGTGAGTAATTTATTAATAAAGAACATTTCAATATCTTTTGTAAATATATCCAAAAATACGTACGCACTGTATGAAATACAATTTATAATTTATTTTAATTTAATAGTATAAGATATTTGTAGCAAGATACATCTAATCGTGAGACACATAATGTTCTTCGATAAAAATTTACGCAGTGGTCTCCTGCAAATCGTATGATTCTGAAAACTTAACAGTCATGTATGCTTGAAAAAGTCACAAGGTAAAACTCTGGCAGCCACAGTGATATTATAAATATTCATAAAATAGTGTTGATCGACTAAAAATTTCTTTATGTTACAGGTTACGTAATATATGGGACATATTCCCTCTCTATAATAGCTCTGTCAGGAGTTAGCAACATTATTATAAAGAGCCATGGACATTTTAGTAATTGACAACATACTAGGCTCACCGTTAGCCTGCCCCTCAAATGATAATGCGTACTTATAGAGAAAGAATAATGCATCGCCAGGCATTTTTACTAGAATTATACATGTTTCTTGATTGAAAATTAATTACTGTCCGCTCTGTAAATTACAGGCACGATTTAATAGAATTATAGTTCATTAAACTTCGAACGGTCATCAATGCTTACCGGTCTCTTAAGCAGGACATTTGTAAATTTATAAATGTTCGATACGAGTGACCAATTATATTCGCCAGATAATATTCCTAATTCATGCGTTTGCAACAGGTTCGCACAGTTAAAAAGATATTGTGTTTTGTTACCGTAATATAATGGACTTTGATATGATACGTATCTGAAAAGGAACATTCAGGGTGTTCCTTGAGAACTGAATTTAATCGTTTCTATAAAGGATACATGCAAGAATATTCAACATTATTTCTTTGATTGAAGCTTAAGTTTTGGATGATACATATACGTATAACAAAGTCATGAAACCGATCTATAGAGTATTCCAATTGATTCTTCTCATTCGAGTGTTACGTTAGCTCATTGTAAATGGTAAAAATCAATTAGAACATTGTATATATAATACACTACCACTCAAAAATATTTGATTACTTATTAGGTGAATAATAATCTTCGTCTCAGTGAAATAGATACAAATGGATGCTTGATTTTTATACAGTCAAGGTTAACACGCTTAACCGGACAACAGTGTAAACTCAATCAAATAGCTTTGAGCGATAGTATACGCATGCATGTCATAAAAAATTCCTTTGGGCATACAAAGACATGGAAGATTTCTTAGCATCCTTGGTATATCACGCGATATCAATATATCCATTGAGGGAATCGCACTAAAAAATGTAAAATGGGATGTAGGTATATACAGTAGCAGGGACACCTGACCTCCGGTTCGCTTCGGAACACAGATTGAACTATTGTCAAGGATCTTTTTATCAAAAGTTCATCGAAGTATCTATGCTGGAAGACTAGATTAAAAATGTCTATGAACTTTAAACAGTAAATCCTATAGAATCCCCTTTATTTAAATAGAATAATGTCGTAATTAGCCTGCACTCAAATGAATAATACTTTCTGCATGACATACAATTAATGCCCTTATATTCGAAAAAACACCTTGGCACAAATAATCAAAGCTCCACTTGAAATATTCGATTACCTACGTCATCTTCTTATACAAACATTCATCCCCAGTATCTGTTTTTCATATTAAAACACATTATTCTAGTTCTTCCCACGTTTCATGCGTTAATGCTATTGTTTCTCCGTATTGATTTTCCACTTTGCCAAAATAACTTTAATACTTTGTAAAATAGGGCACACATCATACCCTGCATTAATGTTATCCACCGTTCTTCCTTTCTACCAATTCGTTTCGAATACCGACAGAAGTATCAAAGAGTTTTCGACATCAAAGGTTCGTCTTCCTCCGATTAGTGCTTGCAAGTGGTGTCAACTTCGTGTCTACTTATCCGAGGAACACAGTGTTCGAGCACCAATGTAGACTTCGACTTGTCGTCTTGTTTAGCTTCAAACGTGGCAACTATATTTCTGCTTCAGATTGATCTAGTCTTCGAGTGGTCACGAAGTTCAATTTCTGAGCCCACAGGCTGCAGGTTTGAGGTACACATTATGTCACCGAACCTGTGAATATGGATCTAGACCAGAGACGTGTACATGGCCGGCTTATCACATGCCATGATCAAACTCGTGGTATCCCTCTGCACCGGTGAACACCACATCCACCCAGACACGCATTGCTTCTGGACTGGGAGCCATTAAGTGATACAGCCTGGACGATGTTTTGATGATGAAGGTTAGCGATGGCTGTGGCGATCGCACAGTGTTCATGTGGTCCACGTAAACTTCTTCAATCGACTGAACAGAAAGAACGAAACATTTCAATCGCTTGTAACTAAGTTCAATATTCACCTGATGCAGTACATATTTTAATTTTAATATTGAACAGCAACTAAAGCAAATAAGTAAAGGGAGACGAAGCAAGGCTCAAATAAGTGGCACTTTAATCCATGGACTGTAGAAGCTATATTTCTAAATAAATCCAACTGGAAAAATTCATGAAACTTAATAAGGATATACTAAACACATTCGCAAAGTTTCAACTAAAAGACACTCATAATTTTTTCTATAAAAATTGTTGAATAATTCACAGTTTTAATTCACACAACATGTAAAGCATAAAATACTAATATGTCGATAATGTCAATTTCTATTTGTAGGTAAAGTCAATTTCTATTTATTATCAAAAATTGTTTAGATTCAAATTTTTTAATTCTTTCATTAATATTTGTGATATTCTTTTTGCAAAGTCAGTTAGAAATAAGACTCCATAGAAACTGGTTGATAAAAATATTTCAACATAATAATTTAGTGAATATTGTAAATAAATATACTGAATAAAGATCAAGAGGTACATATTTTGGTTAACTTCTTCCTTTGTGATGTTTAAATTATTTTTTAAAATGCATTTAAAATAAAATATCCCAGAACGAATTAAAAATAAAATATCCAAAAACACATTTAAAAATAAATATCCCAATAACAAAAAAATTCCCAAGTAAAAAATACAAAAAAAATTAAAGATTCAAGAGGTTATGTTACCCATGGTAAAAAATGGCCCCAGTGAAGGTATACCGTACCTGGAAGTAGATGACGCCCCGCGCCTTCCTGGAGGAGCTGTCGCTGTAGTAGGATAGCGTCTTTCTCTTCCGATCGAAGACGAACCACCGTTTGTTCCAGTGGTGGAACTTCTTGCTCATCTTCGACAGGTAACCGCTGCAACTGGTCGTGTCGACCGTGACATCGTGTATCAGGGGTAACTGGTGCCCGGCTGTCTCGATGTGATGCCTCAGGTCCAGGAACTCCGACTTGATGGGGAGGTATCTCGTGAGCGGCCTCTGCACAGGTCCATAAATCACTGAATTTACAAGCGTGAAACGAAGCGACCGGTTAACCGATTAAGTCCCAGTGATCTATTAATAGATCACTCTAAATCGTTATGTATTTTTCGAGATTCGATGAGTACCTTATTGTTGTATCACTAATACACAAATTTATTTTACGATTTCAAAACAATTAGTTTAACATGGGTCAAATTTGACCCAAGGTAGTTCCAGTATTAAGATCCATTTGTACATATATTCCAACAATAATAAATATTTTATTTCCCAAAAGCCTTGTCACCATTTAAATGCTAGCAATACGATAATTCCAAAATGGGTCAAATTTGACCCATGGTAGTTTTAATATTAAAATCTATTTGTACATATATTCCAACAATAATTTGCATTATACATTAAATATTAAAATATGGATTACATATTAAACACTGTGGTTCTACTGTTAAGAGACAATAAAGATATTGTTTAATACAAATGGAAAAAGTGTTATTTATTTTTCTTAATATATTTCCCTTATCGACTGAAAGAGAAAAACATGTCGATAATACCAAAGAAAAAATATCAGTGTCGAATGATATATTATTTCGCACAGCGCTTCACTTTATTTTCAGTCACATGTGTGTCTCGCAGAATGAAATATCACAAGTTTGTAACAGAGCACTCAGAAAATAGTCTTATTCAAAAGACAGTGAAAATACTGTTGTCTTTTTCTTTTGAAATACTTTCGTTTACTTTGGCTCAACTGGTTCCCACTCCGCCACAGAGTACTTTAAATACTACTTTAAATATAAAACTATAGAAAACATAAAATGTTATTAAATATAATCTGTTTTGAGTTTATTTTTACTATATAAATAGTAAGAGTTCACGAATCAAGATTATCAACTACAAATTTTCAATAAAAAACAAATATTTTATTTTCCAAAATTCCATTTTAAAATATTTTTGTCTATTCAAAATATTTTTCCCTTAAATATTACTTAACTCTGATTCTCGTTTGCTCTATAGGATGAGGGAAAGACAGCCAGTTCACGGAAATGAAGAAAGCCTACCAGTCGACGTTTAACGTTCTTTTCAATTTAGACGCGTCAAGGAGAAACGTTTATTTTTATGATTGAAGCGCGTGTATTGAGAGCCTCGCACCGAGGATTTGTAAAACTCGACAGCTGTCCGTTTCATCGAGTACGTGTCTGGGAAGAATATTTGACACTGTCAAATTAGGTGTACAACACTTCATAACCTACAACATTTTAAATGAAATGATAATATATTCTCAAGAAGCAGAATTTTACTGAAGACAGGTCTAAATGTTCCTTGCTAATTTCTAATTCCTCATTTCTTCTTTTAGATTTACTGTGAAGGTACAAACGTTTCTTTAAGGAACGGAAGAAACTGATTTAGTAATACTTAAAATATATGCTAATTGAAATCTTAACACTATGTTTATCGAAGGTGTCAAAAGACATTTCAACTTAAAATTATTTTTTCTGATCGATCATTTTGCCTCAATTGATTTTTCGACATTTCTTATAGATGATTTTATAGTTATTGGAAAAGTCGAGAAGTCAATTCAGAATATATGACTACACTTGGAAAATAGTTTTAAGTATAAATTTCAGAAGGTATCCTCTTTGATGATAAATTCACACTTATAGTTTTCGTAAAGAAATATTTAAAAGACGGTTCAAGTGCTGGGTAGTTCTAGTATTAACGCTTTGCAAACGAGAGGCACACAGTGGTTTGGTTTGATACAGCAAAATTACAGTTTAATGTACATAACCCTCTACGGGTTGAATTGTTCATAATTATAATAAAATCTGTGCAGTACAAAATTAATAAACATCCACAAACGAATATATCTTGTAACTTTCAAGTTACAATGACAAACTTTCATACCTGAGCGTGTAAAAGTTTAAGTTAACTGATTACTCAATTTTATTCACCACTTTGAGTGCGAAATGAAATAAATTAACATGCCAATATACTGATATGTGACTTCGAAGCATTAAAATAGAGTAGTTCTATCCCTTGATTTCTATTATTTGTATTAATGTTTATTGAAAATTGTTTTGCAAGATGTATTCTTCATTTTTTAATGAAATATCAATGGTAAATTTTTATATCTTATATTAATTTAAGTATATATAAAAAATAGTACATACAACAAATGGTTTAATACAGCAACGTTAAAATAGAATAGTTCAGACAAACAAAGCTTTAGACAGAAGTTGTAAAGCATAGAGTCAAACATATGGTGGTTATATCTTTTTTATATTATGGAAATATTATAAAGTTTCTTCAATGACAATGGATATTATTTTATTTCATATAAATAAAGAAATAGAATTAATTTGTAGAAAATTTGTATTTTTGAAAAAAAAATAATTTTGTAGAGACCACTTCAATGATAAAAATAAATTATTTAAATAAACTTTATTCGCAACATCCTTCGTTTCACCAATTAATTCAGAAAAACGTTTAAAATCAGCCACGTATGCACATCAATTAATCATTTAACATGTTTTCAATAATTAAAAGTTTAACAATAGTTTGAAACTTCATAAATCCTTTAACATGTTTGTCAACTGTTTTCAATTGAAACACTGAACTAGTGTTTCATTAACCATATTAATTGAAACTTAATATTTTTTAATATATTCAACTAAATTCCAATACTATATTATTTAAATTTATTCTGTAAATTTGTTTAAATGTTACAAACATGAGGAACAACAAGTAGGAAACAACTTTCATTGTTACAACAAGGAAGAATGAATCTTTTCATTCTAAATGCATTACATGACTTATACATTCGACAGTCATGTATCTCAATTGATTTTGTAATGACGTTTTTCCATTATTATCTGCACGGTAATCGACGATTGGAAAAGCTATTGGAATACCGTAACGACCGTGACACGTCATTTGTGATCAATGACGTAAAGGCTACTTTGAAGCCTGAGCTCGTCATGATCTTTACTGTTTGATGATTTTGCAGAATATAAATAGCTAGTTATAAATACCCTATGCACAATACAGATAACAACGTGGACGTTCTCTCATTCCCTATGAGAATCTAATTAAGATGTTAAATAATTTATGGCACTTGTGTGTTACATGGACTAATTATTTTTTAAGAAATAAAATATTAATAATAGTGATAGTAATAATGATGATAGAAATAGTAATAGTAATACTAATACTAATGATGATGACGATGACGATGACGATGACGATGACGATGACGATGACGATGACGATGACGATGACGATGACGATGATGATGATGATAATGATAATGATGACAGTAAAAAATTTATTAATCTGTTATAATATTAAACAAATACAAACCATCATTTAACCTAAATGACTGATCAACGTAACTTTCAGTCACGAAATAAAGATACTTTGTATAGTATGTTAGTATCAAATATACATATATTAATTATTGTATATTTTAAGTTATATTATATAACGTTAGCTTCATCAGTAATTTTAATCTTACCTTCTCAAATGTAACACCGATGAATTGCTGAGATTGTGCTGATTAAAATGAGCCCAAACACGATAGGAATCGGACTACTTTTCCGATTTCATGGAAACGAGCCTTAATTTTGTTAATTACACGAAATCGAAAAAGTAGTCCGATTCCTATCGTGTTTGGGTTCATTTTAATCAGCACAATCTCAGTAATTCAACAACACTATATTTGATAAGACAAGGTTAAAATTACAAATTATTAAATTAAGTATAAAAATTGCATTGGAAGAAGGTCTGGCCTACCTGCAGTTTTGCCTTTTCACGATGTTTGACTGGTTGCAGTGGTCCAAGGGTGTCCATCTCGCTGGAGGTTTGTGAAAGAGGACGACTTCCGTTTCCGTCGATTATTCCTCCACTGTTGTTACTGAGTCTTTCGCCTTCCATTGATGTTCTTCGGTCGTCTCTCATCTGCAGCAACGAACAAACGACAGTGTTCAATTGACAGGTGTACAATTTACATGTAACACTGGATAAGAACTGAAAATGTTTAATACTAATGTTTAAACGATCACAATTCAATATGGCGACTGATTCACAAAGTATCATATCGTTTCGAGTACAATGTTCATCATAATATAATTTTATAATGTTTATCATAGCATAATTTTATAATGTATAATGTTTATCATATTATAATTTTATAGTGTATGTTTATCATAGTATAATTTTATAATGTATAATGTTTATCATATTATAATTTTATAGTGTATGTTTATCATAGTATAATTTTATAACGTATAATGTTTATCATAATATAATTTTATAATGTATATTGTTTATCATAGCATAATTTTATAATTTATAATGTTTATCATAGTATAATTTTACAATTTATAATGCTTACCACAGTATGATCATTGTATCAGCAGAAATCGCACAAAATCTTGAAAATCTTTCTAACCGAACAATACTGGTAGAGGTGCATGTTCGCTTCTAGCCACGGTTATATTTATAAATCTCAATGCGAAGAACAGGGAGCTGCAGTTGTTTACGCGTCTTGTTTGAAAATCGCTTCGGTCAACAGAGATACAGCTGATTTCCTAATATTCCCTTAAAAAGACGCACAAATGCATTTCGGTATAGTAATCTCTGAATTAAAATATAAAATTTCATAATTTCTTAGAAGTTCTTGGTATTACTTATTTCATTAATTGGGATTAATTGGAAGTATTATTTATTCCAGTAATTAGAAGTATTATTTATTTCATTAATTGGAATTAATTACTGAGCGACGTTAACTTGTAAAGAAAAAGTTGTTCATAATCAAGCCCCCCATAACATACTCCAAGATCATCATTTATTTCATATAAATATTTCACATATTGATATCAAATCAATAAATGATGACAGTCATCATCAATCATCATCGACAAAAAATATCATTTATAATGTTAATTTACATATAATTCTCTTTTTTAAAAATTTTCTAAAAAAACCCAGGTTAGGGACACACGAACTTTGGTTAACAATTTGTCTCGCGAATTTCCATTTCGCAGCGCGAAACGCCGGGAATTAATGGATTGCTAGAAATAACTCAAACTGCCGCCGGTTCTCGGTCTGCAGCGCGCCGTTAAGCACGGTTAACGAGAAAAATTTGTGCGATGAAGCGGGCGACGAGGGCCGCGTGGGTGAGAACGCCGATGCGTCTTTTGTCTTCGTTCGCCCAGTCGTTCGAGGGACCAGCGGTGATTTTTCGTTCAAACGGAGACCCGCTGATTGACCCTTTGTGCTCGGATGTTCTTTGTTATTAGAAGTATTCGACGTTTTCCAGTAAGGTGTAAGTGAGATTTTTTGAAACTAACTTGAAGTCGGTGACATTAGGGGACAAAGCTGTTTTATATTATATTTTAAATTATATTTTATTATAAATTGTATTTTATTATAAATTGTATTTTATTATAAATTTTATTGTAAATTATAAGTATTATTGTAAATTATAAACTTTACTGTAAGTTATATTTTATTGTAAATTATATTTTATTATGAATTATATTTTGTTATAAGTTTTATGGTAAACTATATTTTATTATAAATTATATTTAAAATTTAGTAATTAAATACACTGTAATTTCACCTTGAATTAATGAAATTAATTAAAATAGTTCTAGTGTTAAATATTAAAATTAAATAATTTTGCAAAGGTTAACCCTTGAATATTAGAACTACTAGACGGGTCCACAATGACCCATACCTCATTTCTACTTTCATAATTATTGAAATCCTTCAAAAAATTATTAAAATTAATGATTTATTAATGTACAGATTAAAATATAACTTAATTGTTATCTTAATCGACTTCTATGGTTTCTATAGGAAAATGTTTAAAAATTAATTCAAGTGGCAGTTCACTATTTTCAAGACATCAGACTGTCATACCCAGATATGAAGTCAACAATGTATAGTTGAAACAAATTAATGAAAAAATATAGGTAAACTGAGAAACAAATTTATTTTATACAAATATTTCATATACTGATGCATTATGAAACTGAATATTACATGTAACACTTTGTAACTTGATTATGTTGAATCAAATGGTGACTGAAAGTCATCTCTTGAGTACAAGGGTTAGAGCTAACCTTAAAATCAAACATCTCATGTGTTACAACCTAATAATATGCCCAGAATATCAATGTTTCCATAAACAATGCAAAATAGTATTCGTCAACAGGTAATTCCACACGAAATACAATAAACTTTGTAATTCTGTTACATTAAAAACCAAATCGTCAAAAGGCTGACTAAGAATCCACCCCTCAAGTGCAGAATTTTATAATCTTTACTGGAAGAGTTGAGAAGTCAATTCAGCATATACGATTATAAAACTAACTAACCAAGCGTACAGAAATTACCTACACAACACATACACTTATACAAAACTTTATAATTTCAGTATGTCAAATCAAATGGCAACTGAAAACCCTCTCGACTGCAAAGGGTCAAACCACAACGTTACCTCTCTAGAACAATCTACTATTCATTCCACTAGTAAACCGAAGTCTCTCCACGACTTAACACACAGGAACGCCATTGTCGACTCTAATCTAAACACAAGTCCATCCATCACACTGTGCTACGAATGTTCCGTAGTCCATTACTATCATCAGCAACGTCAACAATGCCACTTTCGCTGTTTGTCTCCCCAGTAACCTATCAAAACAACACGATTACCTCATTCTCTCCATCAAGCAGGTCCAATCGTCAACCTGTTGCATGTCAAACTGTTGACTCAGTCTACAAACTATGAAAGAGGATGCACTCAGAAGTGGCAGCAGGGTGCAAACACGAGTCAACATACAAAGGATAAAGGCGATAGAAAAAGAAGACGTGCATAGGGTAACAGTGAAAATAAAAAAAAGGCAAGTCACACAATCACTTAGTTTATAGAGTAAATTATATATCTCCCTCAATCTTAAACATATTAAGTCCACAGAAATATTTAAAGCCTGCTTATGAGTGACGCTGGAGACATCTCGTACATAATATATATACATTACAATCGTATACATTTAAACCGAATCCTAAACACATTAGCAAATGTCAAAACGTTCCAAGACGCAGTCTAAGACCACAAAAGAGGACGCATTCAGAATTACTATCAAAGTGCAAACGCAACATCCAAAGAACGAAGGCGAAGAGAAGTAAACATACACAGAATAACATTGTAAATAAAAAAAAGGCAAGTCAAATAATCACTTACTCGTCTCCTACGAACATGCTTCTTCTTAGACCTGTTCTTCATGTAGCTAATCCACATAAGGGACATCCTGATCAAGCCTTAGCTGTCTACACTCCGGAAGCCAAAGGGGAACAGAAAGATGCACAAGAGAGGTACGAACTGCTCCAAGGAAATCTTTGTCTACCCGAGTCGAATGGATACTCCTCTATTGTCTAAGAGCTATTGTCCGTTGCCGTGGGCCCTCGGCTGCGAACGCCACTCCTGGAGAGTCCTCGCGCGAACGACGAGCGACGGGGACGAACTGGTGTCGGCGGACGAACGTTCACCGGTGTTATTCGCAAGTTGAAATGCGACGCGGCGACGGAACGCCCCACCGCCGACTCTGTGTCCGGCGACGGGACGTCTTTTTGCGCGCGGGAAACCGTGGCATTCATTCATATCGGTGCGCGAATCGTGCCGGTGACCGTGCGTCTCTTCGGCGAAAAGGGACACGCGGGACGGGCCGTTGATGAGCGGCTCTTCTGCGTAGCAGGGGCCATTTTTGATGAGTATTAGGGCAAATGTGAATTTTAAAATGATTTTATAATGTTGAATCAGATACGGTATTGAAATCTTGTTATTAGATTTTTAATTTACATGCTCCTCCATAATTAATTTGTATACTCCTAGTAGTGTATTACAGTTTACAATAAATAATAAAATTATGATATATTTTATTGAATTATTGAAGTTTATTGTAAATTATATTTTATTAGAAGTTTTATTGTAAATTATATTTTATTAGAAGTTTTATTATAAGTTATATTTTATTTATTTATTTCATAATAGTTCTATTATTAACTATTATTCTGAACCACTCATATGCAGATCCTCTTTTAACTGAATACTGTGATTGAAATGTTTGAGCTTGTGGCATGAACCTTGTAGAAAATACCCCAGGGTCAGTTTACTCACATGCCAGCATTATATTAATTAAATTCATGGAGGCATACCACTATGAATATGTAAACGAACTGACTCAAGAATCATTATTATGTTTCTGCGAAAATATACAACTTGACCATTTTGTTGATAGTCACTCAGTTCAATGCAGCAAAATTATAAAATTCAATACTCAATAATAAATATTATAACACAATAAAATGTAAAAAAATAGTTCTATTCCTTAATTTACATATAAATCTTCTTTATAATAATTAATTGCAAAAAATGACACCGACATTTCATTAGAAAACAACAAACATTCAGAAATATACAAATTGACCATTTTGTTGATAGTCATTGTATCATCATCGACATCATCATCATCATCATCGACATCATCATCATCATCATCGACATCATCATCATCATCATCATCATCATCATCATCATCATCATCATCATCATCATCAT